TTGGTGCTCTATATATATGAAGTGGGATTTCGTATGCAATTATCATTTTAAGTGCATAAATCTTCAGTAGATTATAATCAAGGAAAAGAATTCTTTCTGAATTGACGTCTGACGCTGTATCAAGAAAAATTGAACCCACCCGCGTAGACTCTATACTCTAGAGTGAACCAAATTCTTCTTTCACTTGAAAGTGAACAAGAGCAACCAACACTGTTCAAACCAGATTGAAATTTAGATTTTTTTTTTTGATTTATTCTGTATAATTTATTTTCATTCTTGGATTTTGCCTTCGGCATATGACTCATACAAATCGCGTTCAAATTTAGCACAGATGCACGTTAAGGTCACAAAAATAAATAAAAAATTCTAATCCATACCAATTCCTATATCGTAAGCAATTAAAAAGACTAATTACTTGAGCTGTTTTTTTACAGAATATTAGTCGATGGTCGAACAAAGCAACAATATTGGTTGGTATGGTTATAGATGACAAAAAAATGTTTTGAAATTATTTCTACACTACAATCGAAAAGGGGAATCGAAGGAAATCATCCGATTATTCAGCTAAATTGGTTCAGCTATTCGTCACCTGAAAAATACACATCGATCAAAAAGATCAAACCAATTTCTTATTTAGTGAAAAAAATATGCAACATTACCATTGTACTGAATCCAATTGAATCTATTCCAATTGCTCTGCAATATTAATTTTGTTTCCTTTACCGGTAAAAAGTTTGGCGACCTCATTGTGACCTAAAAATAATACAGATCAATGAAAAAGATCAAAGCGATATCTTATCTAGTCAGCTTCACCATTGTTAACAGCCATTTGAAGTGGTACACAATTCGCATTATTTTTAATAGCAATATTGGCTCCTTTACGGATGAGAATTTCAGCGACACTCCTATGACCTAAAAAGTAATTTAGATGGATGGAAAAGATCAAATCAATGTTCTTTTAGTAAAGACAAGTATTCAACTATTACCATTCTCAGCAGCTGAATGAAGAGGTGTGTCTTTCACATTACTTTCACTATTAACATTGGCTCCTTTACTAATGAGAAATTCGACAACATTCTTATGACCTGAAAAATAACACAGATCGATGCAAAAAATAAAATTGTTTTCCTGTTTAGTGAGAACAAATAATCAACATTACCATTCAAAGCAGCTAAATGAAGTGGTGTTTCTTTCACATAATTTTCACTATTAACATTGGCTCCTTTACGGATGAGAAGTTCAGCGACACTCCTATGACCTAAAAAGTAATTTAGATGGATGGAAAAGATCAAATCAATCTTCTTTTAGAAAAGACAAGTATTCAACTATTACCATTCTCAGCAGCTAAATGAAGAGGTGTGTCTTTTACATTACTTTCACTATTAACATTGGCTCCTTTACTAATGAGAAATTCGACAACATTCTTATGACCTGAAAAATAATTTTGACCGATGAATAAGATCAAATCAATCTTTTATTTAGTGAAAC